ATGCTCGTGTTCTAAGCTGCCATGGAATAGATATGAGAATATAATGCGTTTTATGCATTTCAACGACAATACACTGTCGTCCTCGGGGTGACCCTGAATTTGACCGGCTCCACAAAATTCGGCCCCTTGTAAATCACCTTAACCAAAAATTTGCAGATGTCTCTACTCCCCAGAAAGAAATCTGCGTTGAGTCCCTCATTAATTTTTCTGGCCGCCTTGCATTCAAACAATTTCTCCCCAGCAAGCGTGCCAGATGTGGGGTCAAGATGTGTAAGACCTATGAGAGGGCAACAGGCTATACAAATTTTGGATTTACGAGGGAAAAGATAGTCACGTGGAGCCCCCTGGATGCCCAGACTACATGGGGGGAAGTGGCAAGACAGTTTGGGACTTGGTGTCATCATTTTTCCATATGGGCTACCACTTCTATGTGGACAATTTTTATTCAAGCGTGCCACTATTTAGACATTTGTACAATCTTGGAATTGGCGTATGTGGCACCGTGCAACCTAATCGTCGAGGCTTCCCCCAAACGGCTTGTAAATACCTATCTTAGAAATGGGGAAAAAGCCTGCTTGAGAAATGAAGAATTGGTCACAGTGAAGTGGAAGGAGAAATGGGATGTTTGCGTCCAGTCTTCCGTTCACACACACACCACCATCCAAATTGCCACGGCAGCTAGTTTTGTTGAGAAGCCCCTCTGTGTCTACGACTATAACCTTAACATGGGAGGGGTGGACTTCAGGGACCAGATGATGAAGCCGTACCTAGTTCTCTGAAAACGCTGGTACAAAAAAGTGTCTGGTTTTTTTCAATTGGCTCTACATAATACTTTTGTGCTTTACAAAGCAACTGGGTGAAGTTGATCTTTCCTAAAATTCCAGGAAGAGATCGTCGCAGCCTTTTTATCCAGAAGGTGCTATGGCCCAAACCCCCAAGCCAGATGCAGTTATCCGGGTGCATGAGAGGCATTTTCCCAATGTTATTCCTGGTACCCCAAACCAAAGGACACTCCAAAAAATATGTTGTGTCTGTAGCAGACATGAAATTAGGCGTGACACCCACTTTTTTTGTCCTTCCTGTTCTAGCAAACCTGTTCTCTGCCTCAAGGACTGCTTCTGTTACTCCCACACACTAGTGGAGTATTAGTATAAGGTACAGGACAGCACAGTTCAGGGCACATATTTGCACAGGGTCTCAAAAGATGTTAGGTAGTCAGGAAACTGGCTATCGCATTTTGATAAACCCTACACTCACGTTGAATGAATAAAAAAAGTAAAAAAAAAACCAAAGCATAAAAAATAAAAATGTACAATTCCAAAACAAAATTTTAAAAAACAAAAATAGTTTTTTTTTTGTTGTTGTTACAATTTCACTGTTTTATTGTTAACCATTGCGGTTTTCTTTCCAGGAATGCCATTCAGCTGCAGCACCAACTTATTTAACCCGACAGCAACAGGGTCTTGCTCTCGGAATATACATAAGTAGGTGTGTGCAGCGCTGTTGAATAAGATTTTTCATCCGCAGTTAAGAAAAGAGCATATATGCCGAAGCATGGGGGCCTGGGGTGGCTAGTGGGTGGATGGCCCCTATGCTTCGGTATATATTTAAAAAAAAAATAAAACATTTGGCAGAGATTTTATCATCCACATCGACCGATGCAAAGAGGAATATGTTAGGTTCTTTCATGTGTGCCAACCATTAGAAGTGGGTGGATGCAGGCTGAATAAAAAAAAAAAAAAAAGCACCCTCGCCCCCCCCCCGCGTGCCAGAGAGTTTTTGACACCTTGCCAGTATATAAACAGCGGTTGCACCACGCATGTGAAGTGACGCCACAAACGTCAGATCAAGGGCAGTAATTCTAGCACTAGCCCTCCTCTGTAAATCTAAAATGGTAGCTTGTAAAGGCTTTTAAAGTGTTGCCTATGGATATTAAAAATGTATGCAGTTTGTCGCCATTGCACGGGGCATACGCAGTTTTAAAGCATGTCATGTTTGGTATCTATGTACTCGGCATACCATCCTCTTTTATATGTTAGCAAATAATTGGCCAATATATTATGTTTGTCTATTTAAATTAAAAAAGGTATTTTAAAAAAAATTGCGTTTAAAAAATTGCTGCGCGAGTACTATGTGACATAAAAAATTACAGCACCAATCATTTTATTCATTAGCGTCTCTGCTTTAAAAAAAATATATAATGTTTGGGGGTTTAAAGTAATTTCCTAGCAAAAAATACAGGTTTTTTTTTTTTTTTTTTATGTGAACAACAAATGTCAGAGAAGGCTTGGTCTTCAGGTGGTTAGAAGAGTGAGTGATGTGTGGCATAAACTTCTAATGCTGGATGTAAAATGCCCCCACCCCCAAAATAACCCCTTTTTGGAAAATAGACACCCCTATTTGCTGAGAGGCATGTTGAGTCAATATAAGAATTTTTTTTTTCTTTACAAGTTTTTAGAAAATTTAAAAAAAAATATATTTATTTTACACAACATTGTCACTTTAATGATTTACTGCTCACACATGCCATAAGTATATGTGGAATTACTCCCCAAAATAACTTTTGCTACTTCTCCCGAGTATGGAGATACATGTGAGACTTTTTGGCAGTCTAACCAAGTACAGGACCCCAAAATCCAGTAAGCATCTTCAGGCTTTTAAAAGGCTTTATTTCCTCATTACACTTCCTGACTACCTATCACAGTTTCGGAGGCCCTGAAATGCCAGGATAGCACCAAAACCCCCCAAATGATCCCTTTTTGGAAAGCAGACACTCCAAGGAATTTGATAAGCATGGTGAATATTTTTCAGATCTCGTTTGTTGCCACACGTTTTTGGAAAATGAAGAAAGAAAACAAAAACATATTTTTAAAAACATTGTGAGAAAAAAATTAGATCTGCAAAATACCATGCCTTTTTAAATTCCTTGGGGTGTCTACTTTCCAAAAAGGGGTAATTTGGGGGGGGGGGTGCTATCCTGGCATTTCAGGGACTCTCAAACTGTGATAGGTAGTGCGGAAGTGAAATGAGGAAGTTGTGCACCTTCAGGCTTTCAAAGTGGTCATTGGATTTCAGGCTCCTGTATGTGGCTAGGCTCCCAAAAAGTCTCACATGTGGTATCCCCATACTCGGTAGAAGTAGCAGAATGTATTTTAGGGTGTAATTCCACATATACCCATGGCTTGTATGAGCAATACAGTATGTCATTTAAGTGACAACTGTGTAATAAAAAAAGTTTGTCATTTTCAAAAAACTTGTGGGGAAAAAAAAAAATCTCCCATGGACTCAACATGCCTCAGCAGATATCTTAGGATGTCGACTTTCCATAAAGGGGTCATTTGTACTGTCCTGGTGTTTTAGACACCTCAAGAAATGTGATAGGCAGTCAGCTGTGAAAATTCCATTATCTATACCATATTTTGGAGATGCTATAACTTTCACACAAAGCAATTAATATTTAGTTAGAGATTTTTTTCACCAAAGACATGTAGCAAAATACATTTTGGTCTAAATTTATGACGAAATTTTGAGTTTTTGGATTTGGATATTTTTTATGACAGAAATGAGAAAATATTTATTTTCAAAATTATCAGTCTTTTATTGTTTTGTTCATAGTACAAAATAAAACCCCGAAAACCCAGAGGTGATCAAATACCACCGAAATAAAGCTATTTGTGTGAAAGAAAGGACATAAATTTAGTCTGGGTACAGCATTGCATGACCGCGCAATTGTCAAACTAATGCAGTGCTGTATAGAAAAAAAAAAAAAAAAAAAAAAGGTGAAAATTGCAGTTTCTATACCATAGTTTGTAGACGCTATAACTTTCACACAAAGCAATCAATATACACTTATTAGGATTTTTTTTTACCAAAAACATGTAGCAGAATACATTTTGGCCTAAATTTATGACTAACTTTGAGTTTACTATATATTTTTTTATAGCCTAAAGTAAAAAATATCAGTTTTTTTTTTCCGCAAAATTTTCAGTCTTTTTTCTTTATAGTGCAAAAGATAAAAAGCGAACAGGTGATCAAATACCATCAAAAGAAATCTCTATTTGTGTGAAAAGAGGACATACATTTCATTTGGGTACAGCGTTGCATGACCGCACAATTATCAGTTGAATTAGTACAGCGCCGAATAGCACAAAAAGGCCTGGTCATTAAGGGGGGTAAATCCTCAGGATGGCAAGTGGTTAAAGTAACTAAAGGCAAAACTGTTCTTTTAGTTTGGGACAGAGTGGAGAGGGACTAGAACCCCAGGCAGCTGTGTGTTGCCATTAGGGAGATTCCCTCACTCCATTTGTCCTCTTCCCATTATCATCAAAACAGAAAGTGAAAGCAAATCTCACATTTGTGGTTGTAAACAGAACAGGAATAGAAGGGACATGTTCCAATGGGGACAAGCTCCAATGACAACCAGAGATTTCCTCACATTGAAGGGGTCTCCTCTTCCTGTTTTTTGCTCTGGGACAGGAGGTGAAGTCTCCCCAATAGGACACAGATGGAAGAAAAACTGACAGGGGTTCTAACCCTCTCTTATTCTATTCAAATGCCTTTGGTTCTACTTTAGTCAGAAAAAAGAGATTGTGAATGTAGAGGAAAATCTCCAGTTGTGCAGTAACACCCCCCCCCCCCCCCCACACCTAACAGTGAGGTAAAGGCAGCCCCTTTCATGTACAGCGCTTCAGCAGCCGCCTATTACAAGCCCCCTCTCATGTCACCTCCCTCCTTCTAACACTCCCGGATGGAGGAGCACAGACCGGAAACACGATCAGTAAACTACAACTCCCGTCATGCTGCTCGCCAAACCATTCTCGTAGGCACAATGCTTCCCTCTAGTGGTGAAACGAGCGCAGTACGTCTTCTCCCCTTTCCTCGTAGTGCCTCGGAAGCACTTCTCACTTCCTTTCATGGCGTCCGCGCAGGCGCGCTCGGCCCCCACCGCGGCGTTCCGCGTAGAGCCAGCGATAAAAGGAACGTAGGAGGGAGGCCCGAAGATGTCTAAGGGCCCCGTCCCCAGTTCACCATCCGCCTCGTCCGCTTCCCCGGCAGCAGTGGCGAGCGGAGCGCTCCAGGCGCAGCCCGAGAAGCCGCAGCACTACACGTACGTAAAAAAAAACACGGCACAAGACGACTGACGTCAGCGGGAGGCGTGAGTCACGCGCAGTGCCCCGCGCCCAGGCCGGCGGGAACCGGTCAAACCTGGAGAAAATGGGCGGGGCGTGGTTGGGGCGCGAAGCGTGCGGGGCTCGGCGTTGTCAGAGTACAGAATGTGTCACTGCTTCCGGGAGAAGTGTTCAGTGAGCAGTGGGACAGGGACTTCCCCTTTAATCTGCCTTTGTTGGCTGACAGAGCTTTCCATGTACTCACCTCACTAGGGTGCACCCAGGAGGACACTTCACACCACTCTATTCTATAATAAATCGGAGCCAGCCTACACCCACACTGACCAATGCCAGTCCACACTCTCCAAGTCTTCATTCCCTGAACATGCTCCCCGTATACTGGGATGATTAATAGACATCACACTGAGGAGGGCCCCTGTATCCCAGCCTCCACCTTCTATATGAATATGTACTAGATCAGTATTACTGCTGAAGAGCATGGGCATAAGTACCTGGAATACATAATGGGCAACGGGCACAAAAAAAGAGGACATGGTGTGAAATGTAGTGTCTGGTCAGGAGAGGGCCCCATTACATTGGTGGTTAGCGGAGGAGGGCCCCGTTACATTGGTGGTTAGCGGAGGAGGGCCCCGTTACAGTGGTGGTTAGCGGAGGAGGGCCCCGTTACAGTGGTGGTTAGCGGAGGAGGGCCCCGTTACATGGTGGTTAGCGGAGGAGGGCCCCGTTACATTGGTGGTTAGCGGAGGAGGGCCCCGTTACATTGGTGGTTAGCGGAGGAGGGCCCGTTACATTGGTGGTTAGCGGAGGAGGGCCCCGTTACATTGGTGGTTAGCGGAGGAGGGCCCCGTTACAATGGTGGTTAGCGGAGGAGGGCCCCGTTACATTGGTGGTTAGCGGAGGAGGGCCCCGTTACATTGGTGGTTAGCGGAGGAGGGCCCCGTTACAATGGTGGTTAGCGGAGGAGGGCCCCGTTACAATGGTGATTAGCGGAGGAGAACCGCTTACATTGGTGGTTAGCAGAGGAGGGCTCCTTATATTGGTAGTTAGCAAAGGAGGGCCCCCTTGCATTGGTGGTTAGCAAAGGAGGGCACCCTTACGTTGGTAGTCAGTGGAGACAGGCTACTTATGTTTGTGGTCAGTGGCGGAGCGCCCCCTTATATCTTGGTGGTCAGCGGAGACCGGCTACTTGCATTGGTGGTCATGGAAGAGGGCCCTCTTATGTTGGTGGTCCGTGGAGACTGGCTACATGGTCCATGGAGACTGGCTACTTACATTGGTGGTCAGTGGAGGAGGGCCCCCTTATGTTGGTGGTCAGTGGAGGAGGGCCCCTTATGTTGGTGGTCAGTGAAGACCGGCTACTTACATTAGTAGTTAGTGGAGGAGGGTCCCCTTACGTTGGTGGTCAGTGGGGGACCGGCTACTTACGTTAGTAGTTAGTGGAGGAGGGTCCCCTTACGTTGGTGGTCAGTGGGGGAGGGCCACCTTAGGTTGGTGGTCAGCAGAGGAGGGTCACCTTATGTTGGTGGTCAACAGAGGAGGGCCCCCTTATATTGGTGGCTATTGGAGGAAGGTCCCTTACATCCTTGGTCAGTGGAGGAGGGTCCCATTACATTGGTGGTTAGTGGAAGAGGACCCGCTTGCATTGGTGTTCAGTAGAGGGGGGTCCCCTTACATTGGTGGTTAGTGGAGGAGGACTCGCTTACATTGGTGGTCAGTGGAGGAAAGCTTCCCTACATCGGTGGTCAGTGGAGGAGGGTCCTGTTGCAGTGGTGGTCAACAGAAAAAAGCCCCTAAGGTTTGTGGTCCCATTATTTTGCTGGTCAGTAGAGAAGAGCCCCTTTAAGTTGGTGGTGATCAGAATGCCCCATCTCTTGGGGGATCAGTATGAAGGGTGCTCCATTACATTGGGGGGGTAGTTGAAAGAATACCCTGATACACTGGGGGTAGGTATGAAGAATGTCCGTTATATTGGGGTTCAGTAGGAAGAGTGCCTGGTAAATTGAGGGTTCAATAGAGTCCCTTGTTGCATTGGGGTTCAGTAGGAAGAATGCCTCTTTACATTGGGGGTCAGTAGCAAGAATGTACCGTTACATTGGGGGCAGTAAGAGGAGAGCCCCAGTACTTTAAGGGTCCATAGAAAGAATGCCCTGATATATTGGGTGTCAGCAGGAAGAATGCCCATTACATTGGGGTTCAGTAGAAAGAGTGTCAGTAAATTGGGGGGTCAATGGGAAGAGTCCCTGTTAAATTGAGAGGGGTCTGCAGGAAGAGTCTCATGGTGCATTGGGGGTTAGCAGGAAGAGTCCCCTGATACATTGGGGGTCATTAGGAGTGTTTCGTTACATTAAGGGTTGGGGTCAGTAGGAAGAATGCCTTGTTACATGGGGGTCAGTAGAAAGAGTGTCTTGTTACATTGGGGGGCAGTAGCAAGAGTACCCCAATACATTGGGAGGCAGTAGGATGAGTACCCCTTTACATTGAGGGGTCAGTAGAAAGAGTGTCTCTATACATTGGGGATGAGTACAAACAGTCCCCTGTTACATTGGGGGTCAGAAGGAAGAGGGCCCTGTTATATTGGAAGTCATTAGGAACAGTGCCCTGTTACATTGGGGGTTAGGAGAACGGCACTCGCCTGACTGCATTGTGCCAAGTGTAAAGTTTGTTGGAGGGGGGTATTATGGTGTGGGGTTGTTTTTCAGGTGTTGGGCTTGGCCCCCTAGTTCCAGTGAAGGGAACTCTTAAGGCGTCAGCATACCAAGACATTTTGGACAATTTCATGCTCCCAACTTTGTGGGAACGGTTTGGGGATGGCCCCTTCCTGTTCCAACATGACTGCGGACCAGTGCACAAAGCAAGGTCCATAAAGACATGGATGATCGAGTTTGGGGTGGAGGAACTTGACTGGCCTGCACAGAGTCCTGACCTCAACTCGATAGAACACCTTTGGATGAATTAGAGTGGAGACTGCGAGCCAGGCCTTCTTGTCCAACATCAGTGCCTGACCTCACAAATGGTCTTTTGGAAGAATGGTCAAACATTCCCATATGCCAGCCATAGACGGTTCGAAAATCTGATTTTTCGTCCGATTTTCGCACTGTTAGTGGGTCAATTGGTCGGCTGTTTTTTCGGGTTTTTTGCACTTTGAGATTATCGGTCATGTTGGAAAATTTGCAGCCGATTTGGACGATCGGCTGATTTTCCTGGTAATGATGGCCAAATCGGCCAATCGTTTTAACGATAAAAAATCTGCGCATGAGGCGAGACCTGCAAGGGACAGAAGTTATGGGGTGAACTTTATGATTTAGTCGGCCGATTTTTTAAATCGTTGGTGGTAACGTAGGCCGAATGAACAATCGATTGTTCGTTTATCGTTCGAAAAATCGGCCGATGTTCGACCCGTCTATGGCCTGCAATAGACACACTCCTGAACCTTGTAGACAGCCTTCCCGGAAGAGTTGAAGCTGTTATAGCTGCAAAGGGTGGGCCAACTCCATATTGAACCCTACGGCTAAGACTGGGATGGCATTAAAGTTTATGTGTGTGTAAAGGCAGGTGGACCAATACGTTTAGCAATATAGTGTATGTTGATATCAGACATACTGTTTTCAATTATAGCAGTAGTATAGGAAAGTCTATACACTGCTCAAAAAAATGAAAGGAACACTTTTTAATCAGAGTATAACATCAAGTCAATGAACCTCCTGGGATATTGATCTGGTCAGTTAGGTAGCAAAGGGGGTTGTTCATCAGTTTCAGCTACTTTGGTGTTAATGAAATTAACAACAGGTGCACTAGATGGGCAACAATGAGACGACCCCCAAAACAGGAATGGTTTTACATGTGGAGGCCACTGACATTTTTTCCCTACTCATCTTTTCTGTTTTTCATTAGTTTTTCATTTGACTAGAGTCAGTGTCACTACTGGTAGCATGAGGCGGTACCTGGACCCTACAGAGGTTGCACAGGCAGTCCAACTCCTCCAGGACGGCACATCAATACGTGCCATTGCCAGAAGGTTTGCTGTATTTCTAAGCACAGTCTCAAGAGCATGGAGGAGATTCCAGGAGCTCGCCAGCCCGTCAGCAGGACCGGTATCTGCTCCTTTGTGCAAGGAGGAACAGGATGAGCACTGCCAGAGCCTCTACAAAATGACCTCCAGCAGGCCACTGGTGTGAATGTCTCTGACCAAGCAATCATGGGGCCCAACGTCCTCTAGTGGGCCCTGTCTCACTGCCCGGCACCATAGAGCTCGCTTGGCATTTGCCATTGAACACCAGAATTGGCAGGTCAGCCACTGGTGCCCTGTGCTTTTCACAGATGAGAGCAGATTCACCCTGAACACGTGACATGTGAAAGGGTCTGGAGAATCTTTGGTGAATGTTATGCTGCCTGTAACATCGTTCAGCATGGCTGTTTTGGTGGTGGTCAGTGATGGTCTGGGGAGGCATATCCATGGAGGGATGCATAGACCTCTATAGGCTAGACAATGGCACCCTGACTGCCATTAGGTATCGCAATGAAATCCTTGGACCCATTGTCAGACCCTATTCCAGTGTAGTGGGTCCTGGGTTCCTCCTGGTGCACGACAATGCCAGGCCTCATGTGGTGAGAGTATGCAGGCAGTTCCTGGAGGATGAAGGAATTGATACCATTGAATGGCCCCCACACTCGCCTGACCTAAACCTAATAGAACACCTCTGGGATATCATGTTTCAGTCCATCCGAATCTACCAGGTTGCATCTCAGACTGTCCAGAAGCTTAGGGACGCCCTGGTTTAGATCTGGAAGGACATACCCCAGGACACCATCCGTTGTCTCATTAAGACCATGCCCCAACATTGTCAGGCATGCATACAAGCACGTGGGGGCCATACAAACTACTGAGGACCATTCTGAGTTGCTGCAACTAAATTTCAGCAAAATGGACTAGCCTGCTGCATCATTTTTTTACTTTGATTTTCGGGGTGTCTTTGAATTCAGTCTTCTGTAGGTTGATCATTTCCATCAAATGATGGGGCATCGTTATGTTCCTAACACATTACCCAATCCATATCAGTATAGATGTCCAGCATGATATTTTTCCCCATTGAGATCTGATGTGTTTTCAAAGTGTTAATTTCATTTTTTTTTTTTAGCAGTGTACATAGGTGGTTCATATAGTGAACTCATTGTAGAGTTATTAACTTTAGCCACTTGCTTACCGGGCACTTTTATCCCCTTCTTGCCCAAGCCAATTTTCTCCAAATGTCTTCCAGGACAGCCCCTTGAGATGTAGAGCTCCTATCTCCGGGACAGGAAACACGTAAGCCCAATACTTTAAAGGCGGACCTCCAGGCCTCCCTCCTCAGTTTTTAAATCTGATGTGTTTTCAAAGTGTTCATAGTTACATAGTTAGTCTGGCTGAAAAAATACAAAAAGTCCATCCAGTTCAACCATGAAAAAAAAAAAAAAAAGTTATAGCCCTATACCCACAGTTGATCCAGAGGAAGGCAAAAAAAACCAGCAAAGCATGATCCACTTTGCACCTGCTGGGAAAAAAATTCCTTCCTGATCCCCCGAGAGGCAATCGGATATTCCCTGGATCAACTTTTACCTATAAATTGTTCCTTTAATTTTTTTGAGCAGTGTATATACCCATTGCAAACATTTCGAATATTATCCCTGCTATAATTCTGGTAGCTCTGTAGGCTTGTAGGCATGCATGTAGGCAGCTTGTAGCAAGCTAAATCAAACTCCCTCACCCAAACCAGGTCGATAAAGAAGAGGCCAGCACTCTACATTTTGGTCAGATATACACAATTTTAGTTTACTTATTTATTCAATCAAAATTCACAGGGATAATGTTCCAGTGCAGACAGTTTACTCTGAATCACCAGTTTATTCACCTGAAATCTGAAACTTGGGTCATGTCAGCTGAAATCTGAAATAAGGCTTACAGAGGGCTTTCAAATGTGTAAGCTGTTGGGCAGAACATGGGGTGCTTTGGTGTACTTAGTGGTTATAGGCGTCTGAAATGAAAAATTAACAGAACAAACCCTCTGTAGTTTATTCTTGCCTCTCTTTCCTCTTTTGTCTGTGAGTCTCTTCTTACAAGTTATTCTAAAACCCCAAAATCCCCCCCCCCAGCACACAGAAGGTAATTGACAGCGTTATCTGTGCATGTTTCCATATGAGACTGAGTAGAGGGTGGTGTGTCCATTCCCTCCACTCAGGTCTCAGATTACACTCCCTGCTGTATGCTGTGCAGTATGTTATGTCAGATCCCTGCTTCCAGAAGTAGAAATGTAGTGTAAAATGTGTGCTTTAGAAGGCTGTGGAGAAGAGAGGGATAAACAGGTACAACTTATATAGGATGATTTGTTTCACCTCTTGTGTATCATCTGAAGCTAGTTACTTCACTCAGTATATGTAAGGGTTTAGAACACTTTAACTGATGCCACACAGATCTGAGATATTGGTTTGACAGACAGGCAGGCACTGGTGGATGGGCCTGATGTACAGGCTCTACGTTGGGGTTATGCTCCTGTCCCTCAGTACCTTTCAAGCTCGGCTGTGCAGGTGAGTCTGATGCACTCCCATTATGTTTTACAAGCTACCTGCACGCAGCTCAGAAAAAAAAAGTAAACAGCTCTGGCCACTGCATGGGGCTGAGCTCCCGTGTGATAGAGTCACAAACAGATTTCTAAAGAAAATGACTAAAACTTTGTTGAAATTTTAGCTGATATACAGTATATTTATTTATGTGGACTGTTTGTTCTACCAAAGACACCGAGATTCTGTTTAGCCAGTCTTATGGTTAAGGCCTCATGTACATGGATGTAATTCGGTATAAAATAGCTGGCTGGTGACAGGGTCTTTTTAGACTGTATGTAGCAACCTCTAGTGTGCTACTAGAATAGTGTAGTGAACTGCAGGTAAAACCATTGTGTATGACTCATGGTAATTGTGTGAGTCTGTGATTGAGGTCGGGTAATTGCAGGTCAGCTGGATGACTCAACAGGTTGTGGCTCTAACACCTTCTTCTGACTCTGGAGGACCATAGAACCTTCCAGAAGTCGGTAAGCAGGAAGGGATGGAGACCTAATCTGCATGTTTATGGGAGTCCGGCTAATCCCAGGTTTGGATGCCCTGGTAGAGTGGTGGACTGGCTCATAAAAATGGGAAAGTCAGGTTGACTGGGGACTTGAGTGGAAGATGCAGTGCTGAGGAGACTGTCGGTGCCTAGGAGGGGTCCCCAGGGGGGCGGCCTCCAGGCTGGACTTGGGCTGGCTCAGGAGGATACATTCAGCAATGAGGTGTGAATGGGATCAAGACCTGGAGCAGCAGGGAGCAAAGAGGACAGAGTGAGTACAGCAGCACTCTCTGGGGTCTGCAAAGGGAAAGATTGCCACATGAAGCAAGCTTTCTAAGGACAGCGCTGGGCTCAATTGCTTATCCTTTCCTGGGGGATCTTCCAAGAAGCCAGGAGGGCTGGTAGTGCTTGCAGGCTGTGGAGTTGGGAGCAACTCTATGGGGGTGGGGAGGGGGAGAAGATATCTCTGCTTGTAATTACAAGAAGCTAAGCTGATTTTTGTGGGGCTATTGCTACTGATCCGCAACGACTGACAGCTTTCAAGAAAAGAAAAGTCCAGGATATGCCTTTGTACATAGGAAGGAAGTGTCCCCCTTTCATTGATTCAAGCCAGATGGGCATCCCATAATCCCAATTTCCCTATCCAAGTTGATTTCCCTCTATTAAAACAACAAAACCATTCCCATGGACTGGTTACTGTCTCTTGGATGCAAGTCTGTGTGAGAAATACCTGTTGCCTGGCTGTGTGGAGAGGAGCTTAGGGGTACCCACAACACAGCGGCCCTCACGAAGGTAGCGCTACATGTAGATATTTAGCCATCTTAAACTTTGGAACATAAGTCTATTTAAGGAAAATATTACTGCATAGCTTTCCACACCACTACTGGACAAGATTGTGTGCTTTAAACTGCTAGAACAAAAAAACCCTCTAAAAACCCCAATCCTAAGCTTTGTTGGCCACTTTATTGTCTGCCTGTATATACAGCAGACATCTTTAGGTTCCTGTATGTTCCTTTAATTACTCTGTATAACAACCTTGTGCCCTGAAATGCTAGATTGCGCGGTTAGTGAAACATTGACCACAGTTGTCATGGCTGACCTATGGTCTACCTCCTTCTGCTCTTTTCACCCTTTTGTTGGCTAGTGGGGCTGCCAGTCACTACTTTTTGCCTAATAGGGACGTTAAGCAAGCAACAAGGGGAACGCCATAACAGCTGGGGTTGATGCTTCCCTAGCAGATTAGCCTGTTTTTGGAGGTTCTAGGTTGTCCTGCAAATTACCCATGGGTACTTGCAAACATCTGGAGGCACCTGTACTATACACTGGCTGGTGGTTTGTAGTGTATTAAATAACAAATAATGCCTATAAACCTGCTTTATGTAACCAAATTAACAATCTTTAGATTCAATGGCACAGGAATACCCAAGTTCCAGTACCTGCAAGATCACAGCATTAGTACTGGGCAGCATCTAAAATATGACTGTAGTATCCATTTTAAAAGCCAAGTTCTTGCTTAAAAATAATATATTCTATTTCAGTATTATCATCATCTTACGTTGTATATAATTCAGAGCTACAGTTGTATTAAAGCTCAGTTTATCAGAAATCTTACGCATTTAGCTAATCAGTATATAGTAGTAGGTGAGTATTCAATGTTCTCACTAGAAATTTTCAGAGACTCCATGGCAAAAAAAAGAAAAAAGTAGCATAAAATGAGAAAAAAAATGTAAACCGCGCACAAATGTTTTTAAAAAGAATGTTTTATTAGTGCACATAAAAACAATAGGATCTCCACATTTTCTAGTAAATATAAAATATGAGACTGTGTCGAGGTAATAAGTACTAAATATATTTAGAGTCAAAATTGTGCGTGCTTTTTGAAATGCCGAAAAAAGGAAATACCCCAAATTGTAGATGCATTTTGCAAATAAATAAATATATAAACATATAGCCAAAATGCATCCGTGTGTGTGATGGTCATCTTAACTTGATGCTTTGATTCTTGCAGTCAGGATTGCAATGGGCTATAATGGTAAGAATCAAATAAGGCATCTTTGAATTAAGAGCCATTATTCAGTTTCTTCCTATAAAAGGGTTGGAGTACTCGCCATACTGCACCATATTGAAGGTTTTTATTGCTGTGTTGATTTACCTTCTATATGTCCTGTTAAGTCTAAAATTGATGGAAAATTCCAAATTTTAGTTGTCACCGAGAAGAAAGACTATTAATAGGGGCACCTGGTAGGGTGACGACTGTCCTGTCTTTGTAATGATTTCTACTCACTTCCTGTAGTATCCCCAGTACAAGAAATCTCCAAAAGAGGACACAAACAGAAAAAGATAAACTGAGAGGGGTATTAACCCTTCCCCACTCTATTCAAAACCTTTGGCTATACATACACTTTAGTGGGACTGTATTCTGCAGTGAAAGTAATCCGGTAGAAATATTAAAAAACAAATAAGTGATGAGTCTAATGTTTTTGCTAACTGTGCTATGACATTTAATTCATCATTGTTTATATTCTCTATTCCTCAGATATCTGAAAGAATTTCGGACTGAGCAGTGCCCCTTATTTGTACAGCACAAATGTACTCAGCATAGGCCCTATACTTGTTTCCATTGGCACTTTGTCAACCAGCGGCGGCGGAGGTCAGTACGACGTAGAGACGGGACATTTAACTACAGCCCAGACATCTACTGTACAAAGTATGATGAGACTACAGGCCTGTGCCCTGAAGGAGATGAGTGAGTAGTATTTTATAGTGGCTGGCAATTACATCTGTCATATATTATTCTTATATTGTAACATTTGGAAAAGTAGTGAATTAAACAATTTTGTCTTGTTTTTAAAATTGAAGGAAGCCTGAACTGAAATAATTATTTAGTGCCGGTTCACATATAAGTGGATTGGATGCAGTTTGAACCGCATCCAATCCTCATGACATGTGAAATAACATTGTTTCCCATGGTGCCTGTTCACATATGTTCAGTGCACTGGCAGTGTGGATTCAGTGCGGTTTGAGAAAGAGTCATTTACGATTTCTGAGCAGTGAGGTCTGATTCTGGTGCGGATTACAGGCTATTGACTTCTGTGGGAACCGTTTCTAAACCGCACATGTGTGTGAACAGGATAATCCCGAGAGCTAATCCTGTCCTGAACCTGATGTAAACCTGACATAAACTGGTGAACACCTACTGTATCAATTAGTTGTGAAACCTGAGCTTCAGTCCATACTGTACGTGTGAATTAGCTCTTAGACAGCCAAAGCTGCCCCTGAAAATGATAGCAGCCTGCCTTTCTCTGATCCAGGGGCGGACTTTGCACAAGCACGGCAGCCCATTCATTTGACTACCATGTTTCCTGAAATGCAGGGAAAAGGTCCCTGCAGCATTTTAGAGATTGCTGCCTGTAAGGGAACCGTAAGTGCAGTGCGGGAGCGATTTCCAGTGTGTTGGTCATGCCTTTAGGATTAATGGCAACCCACACGCATCCAGTGCATTTTTCTCTGTGTGGGTAGTTGTGACTGCAGAGCAGGTGCAGGCCTACAGTGGGAACCACCTGCACAGATATGAATCTAACCTAAAATGAATACAGCTGTACTGTGAGCAGTCTAGGATTATACTGCTGTCTATGGGAAAAATGTACACAGTAGACACAAACTTGAGGCCAGCCTCTAGAGCACAGGTGGCAAACTGTGGCCCTCCAGCTTTTGAGGAACTATAAATCCCATCATGCCTCTGTTTTTAGAAGTCATGCTTGTAACTGTCAGCCTTGCAGTGCCTCATGGGATCTGTAGTTCCATGACAGCTAGAGGGCCACAGTTTGACACCCCTGCTCTAGAGGCTCTAATCCTTCCCTTTCCAATCCTGCCCAGTTTCACTTTGTGTCCTTGGAAGAATTGATGTTCCCTTCTGCTATATGTTTTTGACAATCAGCTGTCACTGCTGGGTTCAGGCCAGGGGCGGACTGACCATTTGGAAACTCAGGCACTGCCTGAGTGCCCGGGGTCAGTAGGGGGCCCCATGAGATGCCCCTGGTACCTTTTTCATAGGCTTTTTTGAGTTTGGGCAAGGACACAGGGGCCCCATGATCCCCTATTGCCCGGGGGCCCCATGAGTTGTCAGTCTACCCCTGCTCTGATCTCTATACTTTGTAAGTCATTGACCTATCAAAAGCATGCAGCCAATGAAGGTAGAACTACTGATATGTGTACTTGTTCCAAGTCGTTAGATGTGCATTAGAGATGAGCGAATCGAACCAGGCGAAGTGGAATTCGTTTCGAATATCGGGAAAAATTCGATTCGCATCGAATCCGAATTTTAGCCAACTTCGGGTGCACGAATCGAATTTTTCCCGATCAGCCGGCAAAAGTGTCACTGCAGAGAGCTCCGCTATTTCTGACAGTTCTGACAGTTCATTTACAGCGGTTGAAACATTGTATCTATTTGTTTCCATTTAGGATACAGATGTTTTTATTCGGAAATAAATAGATACAATGTTTCAACCGCTGTAAATGTGAAGGAACTGTCAGAGAACTGTCAGAAATAGCGGAGCTCTCTGCAGATACACTTTTTGCTGTACTGGAATACTTCTTCTTTTCATTCTTCTTCTTCTTTTCATTCTTCTTCTTCTTCTTTTTCATTCTTCTTTTCATTCTTCTTCTTCTTCTTTTCATTCTTCTTCTTCTTCTTTTCATTCTTCTTTTCATTCTTCTTCTTCTTCTTTTCATTCTTCTTCTTCTTTTCATTCTTCTTTTCATTCTTCTTCTTCTTTTCATTCTTCTTCTTCTTTTCATTCTTCTTTTCATTCTTCTTCTTCTTTTCATTCTTCTTCTTCTTTTCATTCTTCTTCTTCTTTTCATTCTTCTTCTTCTTCTTTTCATTCTTCTTTTCATTCTTCTTCTTCTTCTTTTCATTCTTCTTCTTCTTTTCATTCTTCTTTTCATTCTTCTTCTTCTTTTCATTCTTCTTCTTCTTTTCATTCTTCTTTTCATTCTTCTTCTTCTTTTCATTCTTCTTCTTCTTTTCATTCTTCTTCTTCTTTTCATTCTTCTTTTCATCCTTCTTCTTCTTTTCATTCTTCTTCTTTTCATTCTTCTTCTCATTCTTCTTCTTCTTTTCATTCTTCTTCTTCTTTTCATTCTTCTTTTCATTCTTCTTCTTCTTCTTTTCATTCTTCTTTTCATTCTTCTTCTTCTTCTTTTCATTCTTCTTCTTCTTGTCATTCTTCTTCTTCTTCTTTTCATTCTTCTTTTCATTCTTCTTCTTCTTTTCATTCTTCTTTTCATTCTTCTTCTTCTTCTTTTCATTCTTCTTCTTCTTCTTTTCATTCTTCTTTTCATTCTTCTTCTTCTTCTTTTCATTCTTCTTCTTCTTCTTTTCATTCTTCTTTTCATTCTTCTTCTTCTTCTTTTCATTCTTCTTCTTCTTCTTTTCATTCTTCTTCTTTTCATTCTTCTCATTCTTCTTTTCATTCTTCTTCTTCTTCTTTTTCATTCTTCTTCTTCTTCTTCTTTTCATTCTTCTTCTTCTTCTTTTCATTCTTCTTTTCATTCTTCTTCTTCTTCTTTTCATTCTTCTTCTTCTTCGTCGTGCCCCGTGACTGCCCAAATGAGTGAAGTGTGCGGTGATTCTAAGATCGACGGCACTCATCTGCATGTCATACTGACTGACAGTATTATTTCTCTTCCCCAGCAGACTCCAAGGGCATTTAAATTAAAGGTACAGTGTTCTGCACTAATATAAAGGCTCTCTGAAGCCTAGAAACCCTTTAAATAAGTTAAATTCGCGGCAAATAAATTCGCATCGAATCGAATTTCTCCCGCAAGTTCGGCGAATCAGCCGAATCGAATTTTTGAATAATTCGCTCATCTCTAATGTGCATAACAGCTAGGAACAAGAATTTTCAGAGGAAGGGGTCAGCAGGACAGCCTCCATATGTCTTTCAGTACAAGTTTCCTTTAACTACTTGCCTACCAGGCACTTTTATCCCTTCCTGCCCAGGCCAATTTTCAGCTTTCGGCGCTGTTGCACTTTGAATGACAATTGCGTGGTCATGCAACACTGTACCCAAATGATATTTTTATCATTTTTTTTTAGAAAAATTGAGTTTTCTTTTGTTGGTATTTAATTACCACTGGGGTTTTTATTTTTTGCTAAATAAATGAAAAAAAAAGACCAAAAATTTTGAAAAAAAAAAACCCAAACGTTTATTTTAGTTTATAAAGTTTTGTAAATAAGTGATTTTTCTCCTTCACTGATGTGTGCTGATGAGGCTGTACTGATGGGCACTGATGAACCTGCACTGGTGGGCACTGATAGGCACTAACAGGCATCACTGATGGGCACTGACAGCCAGCACTCATGGGCACTGGTAAAGACCGCTCTGATTGGCCCTTTACCTCGAACCATGATCAGCTGTGTCCGAAGGAGACAGTGATCACAGATCACAGCCGGTGCGTGCCCCAGGGGGTGTGATGGGGGGGGGGGGGGGTTTGCATGGTTCTGGGAGGACATCCATGATATGCCCTCCCAGAACTAGCCACCGTGTTATAGCTGTCTTTTGGCCGGCCAGCAAGTGGTTAATACAGGCTGCTGCACTAAGGCGCTTTAAAATGGCCTACACTAGATTCCAAAATTCCTGCCAATTGTTTTGGTAAGTTTACCGATATGTATGAAAGAATCAGGTGGTTCTTAATAAGGCCACATTTACAAAGTGGTGCTAATTTTGTATCAGATTAAAAAAGAACTGACTTCAGTTTGTAGATAATGTATCTGGAGGTAATTAAGATCAACTCTAGGTTCATGCATAGAAACAGGCAGAGTGCTCATCTCTCTTCTCAATGTAGCAGAGTGGCATTTTTGCCGCTGCCATCCTCTCCCTGTCACCTTGTCGGCTTCACATCCAACAACCTCCTAGTAACCAGTGATGCTCCAGTGGGTGGGACATGATGGGCAAGCCAAGACAATAGTTCCACATCAGGTCCGCTCTCTCCTTGGTAGCAGGCAGATTCTACATCCAATAGCAGACTGTCTGTTGGCTAAGGATCCATCCACTGCCTGCTGTCAATCACAAGGAAACGGACCATGATGGGGAACCCCATCATGCTCCACCACCTCAGATACAAAACTCCCCACCACTGTGCTGTCCGTGTGGCACTGCTCTGGCATGGGGGAAGCTCAGTTTGTATAGATACTCTAGACTCAGCAACAGGTACATGAATCTGACACTGACACTTGTCATGTGGAGGCACCTCACAATTCTAATAAGTGTCTTAGATACTCTTTATGAATTCGCCTGTCTGTTTACATGAGGTGGCAGCCTTCCCAAAACATTTTTGGTTTGATCTCCTACAAGGTCTTTATTGTTATCTGACAATTCATCTTCTCTGTGCTGTGCCACTGCTGTGCATTTGTAAGCTCTGTATCTATTGGAGCTTACACAGGTCTGATGACATCATCCTCCTTTTCAGGTAACAGTGCTCAGGCCTGGCTATTACTTGCTCAGGTCTAAGCGCTGCATCCTTGGAGGAGCTCAGTGTTCCCCCATATCCATAAGCACCAGGTATTTGCAATGGCTGCTACGAAGGAACAGGGCAGCAGGGGAGGGTAATGAAGGTTAGTAAAAGTTGGTAGGGTACTGGGCTAGTGAGAAACCCAGTTGCTTTGCCCTAAATAGACAACTTGACAGGGGTTTGATTTACTGTACTACTACTGTATTTTGCATACTTTCATATACTTGGCAT